TAGCAGCATGAAAAATGAGAAAATAATAGCATTAACAAGATCAAAGAACATACAGGAATTTGTGAGGCAAAAGAATCAGCCTTGTCCTTACCAGAAAACCGGCTGTATCGGGCTAATGTTCAAGTAGCTTATTTAGGTTTACTGTTAGGCCACGATCTCTAGTGGCTGTTTGACAGTAGCAAAGTCAGGTGACAGGTGAAAAGTGAATGTCCATGTGCAGAGGCAGGTAGGTAGGTAGGTGGATGGGCAAAACAAACACAGGACTTCTACCCAGGGGACTGGTCAAGTCCTGTGTGAAACCAAGTCACCAATTTCAACTTAAGTTTCAGTTTGTAAGTTTTAGTGGCATCTAGTGATGAGGTTTTGATAAATAAGAGTCAAATGTATAAAACTACAGAAATCATTTCTAACTACTGCTACTACTAATGAACATTAAATTAAATAGTGTATGTATAGCGGGTGCCAGCGAAACACAAACTATAAAATATACCAATATAGTACAACTACTAAAAATTATAATAATGCCATATATCATCTCTCATGTCATTGCTATCATAAAAATAAACAGGGCTCTTCTACAAATATATGTGTGTATATATATATATTTTGTCATGCAGTAGTTATTGCTTATAGATAATCTGCCACGATGACTACTTTCTACATCTATTTTATCACCTGCACTCTGTTTATTCTATCCCTAGCTACAGAAACGATTTCTTAACAACCTTCTGGCTCTATGATACAGTGACGCCGACTGTAACTAGAGACACTACAGTTTAATCGCTCATTAATGTTAAACTCCTCCACTGATAAACATGGCATTAGCTTTGTGGCTAATTTAGCAACAGGCAGCATTATCTGCTGTTGGAGATGTCAGAAAATATTTAGTAATACATTAGAGAGAAATGAGATGTCTGTTAGCAGCGTAGCCTCCAACACTAGGTTAGCGTAACATTAAACACTGAGCTGAGCCTGAAGAGAGCTGTGAAAAACGGGGGGGTTATCAAGTCTGGTCCCCGGAGAGGAAAATTGATGAGGGCTACTTTTTTTTTATTGTCATGTAATGACGTGACAAAATGCAAGTCGCTTATATCTAGCGATAATATCTGCTAAACAATAAATCGGATGGGGCTTTATTAAGGAGTAAAAGAAGATTTTGATTATTCTGACACCACATGAAAGCATCAGTCACGGCTCATCCCTCCCTTTCCAAGCGCGCAGGAGAAGCTATGATGGCCGACACGTTCTGTTGGCTATTGTGCTAAATAATACTTGTGGTCCTCCATTTATTAAAATTTTTCTTCTTTTCTCACTTATAACAGTCGACCACTACTATTATTACTACTGACATTCTTCTTCTTCTTCATCTTCTTCTTCGTACGCATTTAACTTAGTGATGAAACGCTTTGTAGAGCAGTTTGTCCGTTGGGCTACTGTAGAAACATGGCGGCACAACATGGCAACTTCTCCTGCTGTGCATGTAAATATAAATGGCTCATTCTTGGGTATTAAAATCATATTTATACACCACTGAAAACATAGTTTTGTATATTATAGTGCATATCTATCAATAGATCATGTTTAATATTACACACTGAACCTTTAAGTTAAATGTTACGTAGGTGACTTGCGTTACTTACGTAACATAGTTATTTTAACCCAAACCACAATCTTTTCCTAACCAAGTAGTTGTATTGCCTAAACTAACCAAACTGTGAATGTTTCAGAAAGTAATGTGCTTAAGATCCATGCCTGTTGCTGGACTGGTACTGTTAACGGTCATATATGTTGATTTGGGGAACTATCATATTTACTGACAAATGTCATTGACAAATGTTTAGCTATGAGGACTTGTTGAAAAGAACATTTCACATGATACTGGTGCAACTTTCCTACCTTTCTTTTACATACTGCACGCTATAGCACCAGTGTAACCGAGCACCTTTCTCATTTGAAGTCTGTCTAATTAAATTTTTTAGGTACACAGTGTTAAATGTAAATATAATTACACTATGCAATCATGGTGCTACTCTTCATTTATTTATGCTGTTGGATATCTGGGATAATCCTAATCCTGGTCTTTATTTCATGTAATGGGACAGTATAATGAGACATCTCTGTGCATGTTTGCTGTTACTTCTTCAGTTACAAGTACTTTAAGGGATTGCAATTTGAAATTCAGCAATATATAACAGTTAGTCATCCCTGTACCTCTTTGTTACTTTGACATTTTGCGGGGGCTTGTTTGCTCTCTTACAAAGAGTTGAACTGAATAATTAATTTTAATTTAGTCTATGTGCACTCAGTGGAAAGACTGGTTTGCCATATTAGCTTGGCACAGCTAGCCTCTGCTAAAAGCGGAGGAATACTTCTGTTAATTCAAAATGTGTGATGTGCAGGGAGCCAAATTAAACATTTAGATCCAGTCCCATTAGTTGGGTAACAGGTGGGGCCATACAGAAGGTGTATTTGTGTATAGGTGTGTGGGTGTGAGAGATTTTGAATTAAAAAATAAATGTCATTATGCTCAGATATATATACAGCTGGCCTTTAACCTCTTACAGCAAATTCTGGGTGTCATATCTTCATATTTGCACCATGAAAACATGACAAATGTTTAGTCCTGTATTGTCAAAAGCCAAAACCTTAATTATTTATATTATTTCATTTATTTAAAACTGTTATCAAGAGATAATGTGAACGGATGTCATTGATGATCAGAAATTGATCGAATTATAGATAATAAATGGAGGCCATAATGGTAAATGTTTTATTAAAGCTGATCCTTAATCCTCATCATTTCCACTCTGTCGTTTTCTAGAATGTTTATTTTTCTTAAGGTCAAAAGGAGTCCATGATGTATGGATAATATATCACGATAATAAGACACTAAAGTTGTGAGCATGAGGAAAAAAGGTGTGGCATATTCTGGTAGATAGAAAATAACATTCACTTGACATGGTTTTCAAAACATTGCTCCATAGTAATAGTTCTGGTTAAAAAACCCACCTTGACAAACTTGAAGTTTTCTGCTTGCTCTTATTATGTTTTATACTGAGACGCATGCAAAGTGAAAATTTGTGCAAAGCAAATTGCAGTGTCTTTACCACAGAATTTAAATGGATGTCACCTGTCAACTGGCGAGGAAAAACATACAGTGTCACCAAATGCCAAGTAAACAGATGGTAATGTTAAGATGACAATCTGAAAGATGCTAACAGTCAGAGAAAATCTTAACTGCTTCCAAGAGCTTGACAGAGTGTGTGTGACTAAAAGGGACAAATTACTTATACATAATAGCCATACATAATTATCTACATAAAGGCGAGATTTTTTTTTCAACAGCCGCAGTATTGGGAGCTTAAAACAAGCTAAATATGAGCAGCATTTGTTACCTTGAGATAATGAGATAGCTAAGTCATTATGACAAGGTGATTGTTTGATATCTTTGATTGATTGATTGATCATTCAACATACCTGACCTAAAATATATATTATTAGTAACTGTGACTGTGCTCAGTTTCTCTATGGAGAGTCAACTAACTTTCAAGGGATGCTAGGAGTCGCTCTTCATAACTGTAAAGTTATCTGCTGAATAATTCATCCATGTAAGTATGCCAGCCCTGTGTGTGTGTGTGTGTGTGTGTGTGTGTGTTAAAGATCCTGAGCATATGCCATATGTTGGATTGTAATCCAGTGTACTATGATGTAATATAAGCTTTTGTTTGCATAATTGTCTGGTCTTGTGCTGTATGTGTGTGAGAATGAATATTGTGTAAGAAGATTATTTATACCAGCATGATTCTAAATGCCACAAAACTGCTTGCTGCATAAAACAAAGTCTATTGTCTCAGGTTTTGATCTCTGCCCTTCATGCTGTTATTTATAATGTAGATAATATGATGATTTTGTCCAGTCTGCTCTTGGATTTGTTCATAGGCTTCTCAGCTTTGAATGTCCACATGATAAAGTGGTTTTGACAGCTGCCCATATGGGCTGAAGCATAATGGGTTTTGCTATTCACGGGATAAATCTGCAGGTCATGATCCTCTTTGGTCTCTTCATGACCTCTTTCAGGCTGACCTTCACTATCCATCCATTGCATCCTGTCTCCATGGACATGGACATTTACATTCACTTAACAGTCAAGCCTTGTTCTATCTCATTTTTATGTAAAATAAAGTATGAATAAAACTAAATAACTAAATAAAAAAATCCTCAGGTTGTTAGCAGTTACGTCATGCTATGATGCATTATTTTGTCATACTGGCTACATAGGATTGTCTCCACTTTATAGATGTGCTGATGTTTTACATAACAAAATTTTAATTGAATGAATTCATGCTGCAACTCAAAAGTAGTATTTGTTTTCTTGAAAACTAAAAGCGCTGACATTGCAATTTTGGTACAGATGAACAAACTGCTAGCCTACGAGTTAGTTTGGAAACTCTTGATTTTGATTTTCAAAGGTGCAGACCACAATGCCTCTGGATGAAATTGCATAGACCAACAACCAGAGCAACGAAACATGTTATGTAGCATAGCTGGTAAATTAAACTCGTCAAATCCTGTCAGAAGTTTGTTCTTCTTTTGTTCTTTTTGTTTAAAACTGATGTGATAGCAAATACAAGAGAAACAGTTCCACATCAGTGGCAGCCATCTTGGTTTGCGAAAAATGTCTCAGTGGCACTCCTGAATTGTCATTGTATCAAGCCTGAAGTTATTGTTTATGCCAGTTAGTCTACCCTTTACTAAATCCAAGATTATTGTCCTAAAAATCTGATGTAGCATACACAGTACAGGTCAATTGGCACTGTACTTCAAATGTCAAAGATAAATGTTCCAGTTGCATAATTCTGATTTGGTTTAATATGTTTATGTTAATGTAATCTACTGAGTCTGTTAACTGCATGAATTGTTTTATATTTGTAATTAAAAGTTCAGCCTATAATAATATAAATGATTATGTTTATTTGTTAATTGTGATCTTCTGTCTGCAGGGACTCTCTGCATTTATGGTTACATGAATGTCAGCGCTGCAGGCCAGATGCCGGTGATGGAGGAGCTTGTCAGTGAGAGGTGAGAATTAATCAACTTTAATGTAGAATAATCACTGTATTTGTGATGGAATACTTCCTGATAGTGGTCACATTGCTTAGTACAAAACACATTTTCAAACTTTCTAGATAAATTCTCAAAATAGATGACTTTGACTGACATTTAGTTTATTTGTTTTTAAAAAGTAAATAGACTGTTACAGGGCAGCATGGTGGTCCGGTGGACAGCACTGTCACAGCAAGAAGGTCCCGGGTTCGAACCCCGTTCGTCCCGGCCTTTCTGTGTGGAGTTTGCATGTTCTCCCCGTGTCTGCGTGGGTTCTCTCCAGGTGCTCCGGCTTCCTCCCACCATCCAAAGACACGCGGACTAGGTTAATTGGTGACCCTAAATTGTCCTTAGGTGTGAGTGTGACTGGTTGTATGTCTATATGTGGCCCTGCAATGGATTGGCGACCTGTCCAAGGTGTACCCCGCCTTTCGGGCTGATGTCGCCCGATGACCCTGTACGCAGGATAAGCGGTTGACGATGGATAGTTATATAGCATATGACCGTCATTGGCGTCTTTGGACGTAAGTGGTTAAAATTTCCAGTGGGGACACTTAAAAATGTAACCACTCACTTAAAGTTGCTGGCACTGGATGTTACCATTCTATCTCATAATTTGACCTCAATGCTTGTCTTCTTGTTTCTCTGGCAGTTGGACAAAGTCTTTAATTTTTGTGAGCCAGGCCATACATGTAAAATTTCAAAAACATTCTTGAGCTGTATGAAAGACCAAAAGCTGGGGAAAATACCCAGAAATCTTGCATTGTCAGTTACTTGTAGTCAGTTTATTTTGTAACAATGCTTGTACTAATACACCCTTTATTATGTTATTAATTTTGTCAATGAAGGTTGACTGGTAAGCTTTAAGCAGCATACATTGATTAACATACTTAAATTTTCCTGTTTTTCTTTTCTTTTTACATTTTTACTAGGGCTGGGGAAGTTAATGCATTATTATCACATTAACAGATAAATTAATTAATGTGACTTTTTTTTTTATTGCAAGTTAATGCAGTTTTTATTAGGCCTATTATTATTATTATTTTGAAAGTCCGTTGCTCACTGGCTCTGAATACACAGGAGGGGTGGTATGTTGATCAGCCTGCAAATCACCCACCCAAACAAGCAGTGGAGGGAGGCTTCGCCAGCGTGTGGGAGGAGTAGATTAACAAAACAAAACAAGCGATCAATGCCATAGTGAAGTAGATAGCTACACACTGCATGCTGATTAGTAAAACTCAAAAGAAGCGAGGATCAGTCTCTCTTCCATGGCATTTCTGCAGCATGTCACGTAGCCTACAAAAAGTTCAAGACAATTCCACTTTGGCAACTAGCGGGCGCGTGCGTGAGGCGAGCACAACCGCGACAGTCTCACAGGAACGTGCCCGCTTGTCGCTACACCTTGTGCTCGACAACTTCGCCTCACTCTTAACAGGGAGACTCGCTACTGAACATATACTGTTTATGCTGCTCACTGATAAAAGAAAAATGTTCCTGCTGATACCTGTTCAGAAAGAAAACAAGAAACTGATTTATATAACCTGTTGCTCAGAAGAAGGTGCCTGCTATTATGTTACGATCATGGCTCTGGACTCTGATGGTAACTGGTTTTAAAAAGCTAGATAGAAGGTAATGCACTTAAATGCCTTCAATGTGAAGCTCCTGCAGCAGTGGGAAATTTTCGGTTTGCATTAGCAGCAACTTAATACAGCATTTTGAATGTCGCCACCGACGATCAAAACATAATTCGGCAAAGGAAGAGCTTTCATTAGAACACCGTTCTTCCAGAAAATGTTTCTTCATGTAGTGTTTTTTAAAAGGAGAGTGCTGTCTAACACGTCACTTCAAAAACTACTATAGGTTTAGTAGGTTCAAGATCTGGTGACTGTGGTAACGTCACTTTCACACTCTTCATATTAATTTCAGTGAGCAATTATGATCTGTATGGAAGCATCTGCATTGGTTACGGTTCTCCCCCTCATTTATTCAAGTTTCTCTTTCATTTCTCAGCCGTAGGTATATATGTAGTTAAAACACTATAGTCAACTAAATAAATGAATATTAACCCACAGTGTGACTGCTCTGGTTCCTTCTTTAAGGGCATTCTCATCTTCAGATTTCTGGTTCAGCTGAGGCAACAATAGATTGTGTGGGATTTCTACTGCACTGTTCACTGCCTCTGTAGTTGTCTTGCCCTCAGGCGTGATACTTTGATTAAAGCAGGGATTCTGCTGTAAACTGTAGGGTGTGTTTTTCCACTGCTTTGGAGTGTAACGAGTCATTTTATAGCTTCTTCTGCTTGGCTAATGTCTTTTAGCCCTTAGGGTGAGCGATTTGAATTTGTCTTAAATCATCACAGTGACAGTGCTGTGGGACCAGGTTTTTCCTGACTTCTTGCTTTGATTCACAGAGAAAAAGAGTCACAGGGTGAAAGAGATTCAAAAAAGAGAGTATAGTACTTCAAGAATGCAAAGATAGGAAAAAAGGAAAGGTTAACCAGAGATAGGAGGACAGATGGGAATATCACAGACGGATTGAAGACGTGTTGTATTTCTACACAATGATAAGAAAAAATCTTTCTATTGTGGACATTTTGCTCTTCCTCATTTTTTGTCATAGAATAGTTTATGGTCAGATGTTGTTTGTTTGTTTTATTTGCATCACCATTCATTGTGACCTTGGCAAGCAAGCAAGCCTCTTTCTAAAATAGCTATGAAAGAGATAAGAGCTGGAGCCCAGAGAGCACAGCCATGCACAACACACCAACCCCATCAGTTATGTTTATTTTTAAATGACTCCTTGACTCTGCAAACATCTCATTAGATTATGGATTTTAATGTCTATCCAGTAAATTTCATTATCATCAGTCAGTCAATCAATTCTCAATGAGGCTGTCTTTGTGAAAACCTGCTCTTATATTATTAAATTTCCATCATTCCTAGAATAATAGATGCTTCTATACTTGTAGAAACAAGTGGACCTCGTGGATTTAATCACTGTCATTTCATACATCAAATGAAATTAAATCATTATCAAAAACTTTGACCTAACCAAAATTTTACCCAAACATAACGCCAAAACACAAAAAAGCCTGATAGAAAATTTATCGTTATTTTAGGAAAACACAAAGTTTTGTTGGGAAAAGCAAGTCAATCTGCATTCTTTTTGTACAACAGCGACAGTTTCACAAGAACGTGCCCGCTTGTTGCTATTTCAGAGCATTCCCAAAACATGTGAAGAAAAGTACCTATACTGCCCTGTGAACACAGTTGACAGAGCGGAGATGACTCTAACTTAATCAAGTGTCTAATATTGGGTGTTAAATATGTTCTATATACAAATATAAGTGAATGGATCGGTAATTAGGATTTTTAGAAGCTTGGTTAATATTATTCCAAATAGTTTCCCAAGCTTATGTAGGGGAAATGAAGCTATAATCATTTTGCCAGATTGTTTGAATTGCAATTGGTTTATAGGCATTATTTGAGAATACATTGTAGATAGAATTCCCTTGGTATTTGCATTATACAGTTGATTTGTAAAATCATGTTTTGGAAGTTTAGAGTCCCATGGAACTCCATTTGCCTTTATGGCAGAACGCTGCAAATATTAAAAAAAAGAAAATCCAGGTAAATTATAGCTTTCCTTCAAATCTTGAAATATACGCAGACCATTAGTATTGAATAACTGTCCAAGTAAAGAAATTCCATTGTTCGTCCACATTGGGTAGGCCACTGTCCGACCGCCCAGCAGTAAATTATGGTTATGAAATACTGGAGTATGATAATGCCACTTTTTTTCTAGTAAGTATTGTTGGTCGCAAGCTTCCAAATTAGTAAAAGATTAGAAATAATAGGCCCGGAATGCATTTTGGCTTGTTTTAATGGGACTTGCCTAAATTAGATCTTGTAATCTATGCAGATAAACTAATTTCTCCTCCAGAGAGCACCAACTTGGGGTCTAACCAAGATTTTATAGTACGCAATACAAAACACCAGTGATAGACTTTGAAATTTGGAACTCCCCAACCTCCAGCTGATTTCTCTCTCTGAACAGTTGTGAGTTTAATCTTTGGTCTTTTGTTATTCCAAATGAAACCGGTGATTAGACTATGTAAAGTATCCCAATACTCAATGTGTGGACTTAGAGCCAGCATAGAGCTAAGAAAATTTACTTGCGGTAACACTATCATTTTTATAACTGAATATAGGCCTTGGCGTCCACTTCCCTAAAACTTTTTTGATTTTTTCCAGAACTTTTATAAAATTATTATTGACTGTAGATTCTAAAGTTGGAAAAATGTCAATTCCTAAATATTTAAATTGGTTTACAATTGGAATCTTAATTTGAGTTAAATCATCACCAGAGCTACATAGGGGAAGGAGAGCAGATTTCTGCCAGTTTATTTTGTATCCTGAATACTACTGAAGTCTGAAAATAACTTCAGAATATATGGGAATGACTGTAAGAGTTTACTAATAAAAAGAAGCACATCATCTGCATAAATTGATACATGGTGAATGAATTTATTATGATAGGTAAAATATTTGTAGATTGACGTACTTTTTGAGCAAGAGATTCAAGGGATAAAATAAATAATAAAAGAGACAGAGGGCATCCTTGGCGAGAACCTCTGGAAATTGTGAAATGTGAAGAGCAAACATTGCCTGACAACACCATTGCACATGGGTTTGCATACAAAACTTTAATATACTTAATGAATTGTTCACCAACTTTAGCATAAATCTTCATATCAACATTAATTAATGATATAGGCCGGTAACTAGCAGATGATATTGGATCTTTGTATTTTTTGAGAAGCAGGGATGCATGACCCAGTTTTGCGTTATCTAGAATGGGATTCATGTCTGGTTGATGGCAGTAATATAGAGCCTCAGCAGCCTTGAGAGAATGGCTCCAGCCAGCGAGTATGATTTATGATGACACTGGCCCACATACATCGTAGTGTCACTTAT